ATCAAAAATGGGCCTAAGATAGTGCTTTTTTCGCCTAAAAGTTTATCAGTTTTTCGATATGTATAACAACTGTAGTGGGCTGACCTGCAAACAAGCGTCGGCAACAATCGCGAATGCGGCGCACATGTGACAATAAGCAAAGGTCATTATAGAGTTACGACGTACGGGAATGAGTTATCAGCTGTCTAATCGTAGACAACACAATGTCGAATTTAAATTGTGAGCCTGTATTGGTATTGTTTCTTTTAATTTGGCTGTCGAACATTAATTTATGGTTTGAAATATTGTTTTATGTAAAATAATTGATATGAAACAGCCGTCTCTAAAGTTATGACCCCATCTCACCACATGAAAGTGGCAGAAATGACAATGATCAGCTGACGCATTTTTCTTGGCCGAAGTCAGAGCGCGCGGCCCGACGCACCACCACCGCACCACAAAGTATGAGCAGAAGCCGCGCCCAAAGCCTGTGCCCCGGTAACGTGAGGTAGCCGAGTCGGGGCAGCGTGCGCTGACCCAAGCCGGGGCCGCGGCTTTGGGCGCGGTCTACCGCATCCCCGGGCAGCCCCGGGCTATTACATGACACCGGGAGGACGCCCGGCCCCGGCTTGGGTCAGCGCACGCTGCCCCGACTCGGCTACCTCACGTTACCGGGGCCCTGGCTTTGGGCGCGGTCTACCGCACCTCCTAACAGGCCACAGTGTATATAAATACTAACAGGCGTGTTCGAAACCGCAGGAGATGATGATGAACGGGTTTATCGAAACTTGATTGGATGAGCCTATCGGTAATAGCGATTTCAGTGTGTGCATTTATTGTTCATAGTGGTGTGAAATGTGGTTGGGGTACGACCGACAACCCGTCGGGGCGAATTTCGCACTGGGGTACTCAAAATGTGAAGAATTTAAGACGTTTCCATGAGTTTTGAAGGTATGGATAAGTTCTAAAAATCCAGTTCTCCTTATCTGGGCCATTAACTCCATACGGTCCAGGAAAGCTGGCACACTACCTTTAACCCGCGCCGTGCTGGTGGCCTGAACTTTCCGCCGAGTGCTGGGGGGGGGGCGTTTTCACGCCCCCCCGTCTAACTCGGCTCCTGGGCCACGTAGCGACACGCGGTAAGCGGCAATCGAAAGAGCGTCAAAAATAAGGACGAAAACACTTCGGTCATTTTTTGGGTCAGGTCAAAGGTCAGGTCACCAGAGGTCACCAAAGGTAAAATGTTGACTATTTCAACATTTTGGAAACTGCCAACGGCTATCTCGGGAACCGATAGAGCTACAGCGCCGCGGAAAAGCGCATTCGATAGCCCTTTTACAGACCTTTCTGAATAATGTTCTCAGATTTGACCTCAGGTCAACGGTTTAGCCTCCAGAGGGCAAAAACTCCAAAAATAGCCGTTTTTACGAAAAACGTTTTTTCGTCAATAACTTTTGACTCATAAGCGCCATGACATTACTTTTGCCAGCATCGTGTTCCTCTCGTCGAGACGCGTCGAATGGACTATTTGTTGACCTTGAAAGGTCATTTTGAAAATTTGACCTCAGGTCAAGGTCATGACCTGACCGAAAAGGGTCATGTTGCATATCAGTCGATCCGTATCGTCGAGCTGAACACATCTGACGTGTTTTCACCGCTCTAGCACGTCTCTATCAAAAGTTATAGCCAAAAAACTGCTGGCGACCGTTCATGACCTGAGATGACCTCAGGGGCACACAGAGGGGTCACAGGTGCATTTTTCCTATTCAGTGTGTCATGTTTACCTATGAACCGATGTTTGAGAGCGTTTTGAACGATATTCGTCCAAAAGAGGCGCATTTCAATTTTCTCCCATTGACTTATAATGGAGAGGTCGCAAAATTGACCTGACCTTAGGTCACAGATATCAAAAATCCGAGATATACATTTTATACATACTGTTACTCATATCAATCGCTGAAAGTTTCAAAGTGATCGTTCAGTCGGTGTAGCTATAGCGAGCCTTTGAACTTTTTCTGAGGTAAGGTCACTTGACGTGACCTGGTGACCTGACCTTGAACGGCCTAGGTCTGAAATTTTCACAACATGTGCGGAAATGATGTAGGAACACGTGTACCAAAAACGGCGGCGCTGCGCGCCGCCGTTTTTGAGATATTCGCGAAAAACCTGAGGGGGGGGCGTAAAAACGCCCCCCCCCCCAGCACGGCGCGGGTTAAAATTGGATATCATCGGCTTCCTCTCGTGACGGGCAGCACGCTCGTTTTTTCCGCGAAGCTCTAGCTCGATCAGGGGCCAAACGCGAGGGGGGTCGTACCAACCTCCCCCCCCCCCCCTTGTGCCGTCGAAGGACGCCAAATGGCCTGTGCCGGTGAGGGTTAAGTTAACATAAAAAACTGGCAAGAGAAATGTCGCGGCATTCCCTACTAAGAAAACATTCAGGGATTGTTAGCATACTAATAAAATCGCTTTTGTTCTGCATTTTGATTTCGTTATACGTGCTTGTGAATGACAGGGCACTGCGCTGCCTGTATTGTATGTATATGGTTTATGTATGTCGATGTGTTTCCCTCTGTAATGCCCACCGAATGGTGGTTAGTGGGAATATGAAATAACCAGCGCCCCAGTGGCGGTCTCGGCCAACTTCGCCCTAGTGAGGGGGGGCATATGTTACCACCCACCTCTAACTCAAAAACTAAGAGGGCTAGAAAGACGCGGTAAAAAGCAGTCGATAGCTCTCAATGCGTACGTTTGAAAGTATTTCGGTCATTTTTCACCTTAGAGCAATATTGGGGTCACCAGACGTCATTAAAGGTCAAAATTTGCCAATTGTCATTATATTTTTCAGAAAACATGCCGCTATCTCAGGAACTATGATAGCTAAAAAAGCGCATGGAAGAGCAATCAATAGCTTTTGAACTCTTCTTTTGAAAAGGTTATTATCAATATTGTCCTCAGGTCAACGGCTTAGCCTCCAGAGGGCAAAAACTCCAAAAATAGCTTTTTTTACGAAAAGTGTTTTTCGACAATAACTTTCGACTTAAAAAAAGCCACGACATTTCTATTGCCAGAATCGTGTTCCCCTCACCGAGACGCGTCGAATGAACTATAATTTGACCTTGAAAGGTCAACTTAGAAATTTGACCTCAGGTCAAGGTCATGACCTGACCAGAAAAGGTCATGTTGCATATCAGTCGATGCGTCTCAACAAGACAAACACAATGAGACCATCCCCAGCGTTCTATCTCTTTCCAATCGCGAGTTATTGGCAAAAAACTGTTTGTAGCCTCAAATGACCTCGCATGACCTTTCTAGAGGCTATCAGCAAAAATGACACCTTGGTCATCACGAGTTGACTAAATCATTGTGATTCTGAAATATTTGGACTGTTCCTATGCGTACACACGGATCTAGAGGCATTTTCATTTTTCTCCATTGACTTGTAATGGAAAGGTCATGCCACTGACCTGACCTTAGGTCATGGATATAAAAAATCCGAGATATACAAATTGTAGGCTCCCATAACAGCATGCAATCCACCAAGTTTAAAACCTTTCTGACAAACACTGTAGGCTGGACACGATTGCAAACTTTTTTTAAGGCTTGGTCAGTTAACTTGACCTGGTGACCTGACCTGACATGACCTGGGGTCAAAAATTTCACACATTGTCCAAAATTGATGTACCAAAAGCTACCCCAAGCGACGCGGCGCTACGCGCCGCGGTTTTTTATTCACACGCGAAAAACGCGACAGGGTGGTAACATATGCCCCCCCCACTGGGGCGAAGGATAAAAAAAAAATAATAATAATTATATAACCCTCGCATGTGTAGGGGGGGGGGGGTCGGATGGACCCCCCATGGTTTTTCGCGAATAACTCGCGTAAAAAGCGGGCGATCGCGACGAAACTTTCAGTACCCTCACATTGATCAATTTTACACCTACCCTGAAAATTTCATGACCCTGACCCAAATGACCTTTGACCTGTGACCTCTTTTCCGAGACCATGTTTGGCCGGAATCGCGATTCTGCGTATGTCGGCTCGCATTAGCCGCGCGTTTGCAAGCTTTTCGTGGTTTCAAACGTTCAAACATGTGATTTGATGTTGCTTCCATGCATTAGGGTGGGTGTTAAGGTCACCTGAAGGTCAGGTCAGGTCATTGACCTTTGATGACCTCGGGTGACCTCGGCTCACTTTTTCGAGCTATACATATTTCTAGGCTAGTTTTTGGAGCTGAATTCGAATTTAGCAACCATTTTGACATTTACGAAGTAATTTTGGTGCCTTCGTAACATGTTACGAAACTGTCAGAGGCGGTTGACACGTACTACGAATACCCGTCACGATGCCTACTGGTTGACCTGACCTGACCTGACCCGACCTGGTCTATATGCTTAAAGACATCATCTGTGATCAAAACTAACACGATATTCGTGATCAGCACCCCGAAAACCCCTTAGCAGCCACACTTTACGACTTTCTAACAGGTCCCGATTTTCCCGACTTTGGGTCATTGACCTGACCTGGAAGGTCACCCAATAACCTAGGACCTTAAAATTGGGTATCATCAGCTTCCTCTCGTCACGTGCAACACGCTCGTTTTTTCCGCGAAGCTCTAGCTCGATCAGGGGCCAAACGGCAAGGGGGGGTCCAACCGACCCCCCTCCCCCTACACATTAGAAGCTGGCAAACGCCGCACACATGCGAGGGATAAGAAGGAGGAAGAAAGATGTCAATGGTGAATGGAGTAATGAGCCATTAACTGATCTTCCCACTACGATTCCGAAATTAACACTCATACTTTTATTCATATGCATTGGGTTAACCCTCGCACTTATATGGGGGTCGGACGGACCCTGTCCCTGCCCCTTGGTTTCTCGCGAATAACTCGCGTAAAAAGTCACCGATCGTGACGAACCTTTCAATACCCTCGATATGATTAAAGATAGGTACATATACCCCGAGAAATTCATGACTCTGAACGAAATGACATTTGACCTGTGTACTATTTCTCGAGACCATGTTTTTCATAAACGGCTTGTTTATTTCAGAAATTAAACAAATGGCAATACTGGACTATAAAATGGGTCAAAGCGATAACTGGAATCACCCGAAGCAATTGATCCGAAGGTGATCTGAAAACGCGCACAGTAATGTACATCGTCTTTGCTCGCAGTAATAGCATGACACAATCAACAGAATGATAATATCAACACAATACAATACGGCATGTCATCGATGGAGGATGCGCATTGCGAACCGTGAACAAAACGGGCTACCTACCACTTAGCTAAACAACGCGGCGTTTCACGCATGCAGACAGGCATGAGGAAAAACGCAGACAGTGTAGGCCAGGGCAGGAACAGGAAGACCTCAGCCACAGCACACAATGCACATACACTAGACATGAATATGGGTGCATAAACAATGAATAGGTACTTTGGTGTCGCCGCAACTGGCGTGTGAGTGGTAAAGTTGCTACAGGCTGTCGGTGGTTTCAGCCAGAAAAGATCTCCTGAAAACCATGGCGATGGTGTATTTTATGTTGCCGTGGCCTGTTCTTACTCCAGTCCATTAGCCTGTCTCTCAGGCCACCTTGACCATCCAAGACGGCCATAGATAATATCTATGAAGACAGCCACCCAAGCAAGTCTCATGTGGCGGAAATACACAAAAAATCACTAAAATCACAACCCATCACACCTCTCCATATCACAATACTGCACCCACGTGAACACACCAACCATCTCGAGACCATTTTTGGCCGGAATCGCGATTCGGCGGTCGGCTCACATTATCCGCGCGTTTGCAGTTTTTGTGGTTTTAACCCGCGCATGACTGGGGTGTCCATATGTCCAGCAATGTGGAAGATATTGCGGAAAAACGGAAGCGGAGTTCTGTTGAGCCCCTCCCCTCCCTCCAGTCATGCACGGTTAACCCGGCGGCCGCTGGGCCTCCGCGCCACCCGCCGGCCGCTGGGGGGGGGGGGGGGGGGCATATAGTTGCCCCCCCCCTTTACTTCCGCGGCGATATCGTCGCAACGCGAAGAGATAGAGAAGCGAAACTTTGCACACATCTTCCTGAATACCTAGCCGAGGTTGTGTCCAAATTTGGTGTCGATCTCATTTGAAATGACGTCACAGTGACGTCATAAGTCAAATTATAGATTTGCGACTCTCAGTTTCCTCACGATACATCAGGTATATGGGACCGAATATAAAGGGCCGATTATTGGTTAGGAACTAGATGGAAGTGTACTTAGATGTTTTAGGATGACAGCAGGTGCTGTCTAGTTCATTTACAGTTGAGTTTCATGCTCAGCGTCATCAGAAACGGTCCATATCGGGAAACGACAAAACTTTATGACGTCACTGTGACGTCATCTTAGATGCTACAGCCACCAAACTTTCTTCAAACATTGCCTAGGTATTCATTTGAAGCTATGCCAAGTTTCACGTTCGTAGCTCATCAGGTTTCGGAGATATTCCACAAAACGTAAAGGGGGGGGGGCAACTTTATCCCCCCCCCCCCAGCGGCTCGTGGGTTAACGGAGCCGGTGTTCCAAATATAAGCACTAACCACTAAGCAGTCCATTTAAAACTCCGTCAAGCTATTTGCACACACTTTCCCTCGCTCCCTCTTGCGGCACGGCCGGCTCCTGCAGTAGCGACAGAGGCTGTTGAAGGCCTTCAGCGCATCCAGGTCGCGGTCGGTGGGCGTAACCACCACGCTGGGACTGAAGACGGTGCCGCTGGGTCGTCCGAGCCGGGGGTAGTTCTGGTTGACCGTGTGACGGACGCATTCAGCCGACGTGGCGAAAAGTCTGTCATGAAGAAAAATACAATCGTTAGCTCAGGTAACATCAACAAACCTGAGAGAATATCTTAGGCTAAAAAGCACATGGTCAAGGTTGAGGAAGGTGTCGGTGCAATATAGGCTACGTGATACCCTAGCGGGGGACCCTGGGAGTGGGGAGGAGAGGGCAGGGTGCGCTAGTGTCAGCCATCAAAGGTCTTATCAAAGTTATCATAGAAGTTCTGTTTGGAGACACATGATAGGGTCAGCCGTGCAACGAAACTCAAACATCCGCGAACGTTGATATAATGCGCCGTTCATTTTCACCACCACCTTGCTGCACTGTGGGGAGGGATCAACCCCCTCCTAACATTTATTTTTTTTTACAAATATCTCAAACACAATGGAGTGCCACACCTTTATATGTATTTTTACTTGTGAAAATTTTTGACCCAGGCATTTTAACTGTTGCACTGGCGACAGTTAAAAAGGTCGATGTGACCCTCCCCTGTTTTTTTTTTTTTTTTTTTTTGGCGATGGGCGCCGAACTTTTAGTCGAATCGTGCTAGAATTTTACATAGCCTCTGAGGCATCCTTTGCACTATGTTTGGCAAGAAAAAATATTTTCGGGTCATTTCAGGTCACCGAGCTATGACGTCATAATAGGTACAATCTCCGACCGTGTTTGACAAGATCGTACATTCCGCGTAGCTGGATGTTATCTCATCGACAAGAACGAAACTATTCCATGTGATTTATGTCAGAATTTGACAAGACATGAATCTTTACACTGTATATTGACCTTTCAGAGGTCAACAAAGGTCAATGACCTCGAATCGTAACACGCTGACCTCCGTGATATGAGCTGTGTTTAGTGGAATTTCTTGAGGTCCAGAAGCTGGATCTGTGGCTCAGCTACCACCTAAGCGCCTTCAAAACTGTTCTTTGACCTCTACACAACGTCAACCCAGATCAATTACAACCGTTCTCGCCGGCAACGTGTGTGAACTTCAGTGTTCCCGGGGCCTAAGCCACGCAAGTAATGACTGAAATGCAATCAACTATACATCATTTTGTTGCTAATTCGTTGATAAATTTTACATTGTACATTCCGCGTTACTGGAATTTGTTTCACGTTCCTTCTTTCATAGATTCGCCAAAATTGGTTAAGTAACTTGGAAATTATAGCTTTTTCTCCGAAATTTGACCTTTGACCTGCCATAACGTGAGCAATTATTGACCCAGGGTCAAAAGATATACCACCAATCGCGAGTACTCGTTGAGAGCAATCGACTGGTCTTTGTTGCGAAGCGCTACGACGCTTAGTTTCGAAACGCTAGGGGCTGGGTAGCATCGAGCCCCCCCCCCCCCACGCCACGCTGTGTTATGAAAAATGCCCTGCCAGGGCGAGGGTTAAGGGCAGGTAACCAGGTTACGTCAAGTGGCGTTAGCCGAGATAAAGTTATAATGTTTGCAACAGCTACAGCGACTGAACAATGTGTTTGAAACTTTCAGCGATTGATAAGGACAGTACTATGCAAGGAACGCCATGCTTCAAAAAATTGATATCGGTGACCTAGGGTCAGGTCAGTTTTGCGACCTCTTAGTTCTAAATCAATGGAAAAAATTGAAATGCGTCTCTTTGGTCGAAGGATATACTAAACACTCTCAAGTTATAGGTGAACATGAAACTGCACTGAATCGGAAAATTACATTCGTGAGCCCTCTGTTTACCCCTTGGGTCATCGCAGGTCAGGAAAGGTCTTTATTATAGATATAGAAGCTTTACGACAGTAACTTTTGAAAGAGACTAGTAAAAGAGCAATGACTGAACTTTGCCTTAGTCTGAAAAAAGTGACAGAATCAAATTACCTATTTTTGATTTTTAGCGCTCTTTCGAACGCCGCCTACTGCATGTTGCTACGTGGCCTAAAAAGCCGAGTTAGAACGGGGGGATGGGATAGCTCAAACGTCAGATCCTGAAAATACAGGGGCGTGGTTAAAAAAACTTTAGAGTTGCATGCCAACATTTGTAGATTTGTGCTGAGATTTGCACTTTGTCGTAAGATTTGTTGATTGTATGTATTAGACAATACCCACGACAGATGTCTGACATGAAATGACAGATGTGCCGTAAAATATGGTTAAATATTTACATAAAAGCCCAGTCCTATCAAAAAGCCCGTGATCAAAAGTCAGAACATGAGATGCCTAATTAACATTCGCCCCAGTGGGGGGAGCATATGTTACCACCCTGTCGCGTTTTTGCGTGTGAATAAAAAACCGCGACGCGTAGCGCCGCGCCGCTTTAAGTAGCATTTTGTAAATCAATTTTGGACAATGTGTGAAATTTTCGACCCCAGGTCATGTCAGGTCAGGTCACCAGGTGAAGTTAATGCATACACTTACTGATTAAAGCCCGTGACGTAGATACCCAGTTGTTCTGTTATCATGCCAGTGATGAACAGATCGTCGATCCAGAAGAGCGGTACCTCGGTGGACCGTCTAACCATTGCACGAGCAACATCCTGACTGACGATGTACAGCCAGCCTGAAAACGAGCACAAATTCTTGTTAGAATCCCTGTAAGTGCCTTGACGTATTATTATAATGAATGTCCCTGTTTCAACTGCCAATTTTCACACTCATTGAAGTCAAATTGTTGATGAGAACAAAGTGACAGTGTTCTGCTACCTAGTGTGTCATATTGAGTTATTTACATATGACTATTGCAATATTGTGGACGGATGCGGGTCAGGCATGAGGCATGTGTACATACATGGCGGTCATGCGTACTTAAAAACAATATTTATCATTTTATACTGCTAGGGCTTTATTTCAATTTTTTTTTTTTTTGCTCCGCCAGCCTAAAACCAGTCTGGAGCCGGGGGTCATTACATCTGACAATTTTGGCCAGGAACAAAGTTTTACGTTAAGCCGGTTTATGTGAACCCGGAAGCAATAGCAACGTGGGAGCCCATCCTTAGCGTGTGTGAGCAAATTTAACCATATTAGTGGCAGGCTCCTGGCTACCCCTATTAGTGGCAGGGGGGGGGGGCTGTTTACGACCCCCCCTTGATATCTCGAGATCTAACGGGCTGATTTTCAAAATTCAAACGGCATTCGATTTGGCTCAACGAGATCTATATTTCTTTAAAAAAAAAATTAAAAAATGTCAATAGGGGGGTAGAGGGGGGTAAAAACGGGCAAATTGCAGATACATTTTAGACTGTTTATCACGGCCAGGTTTCTGAACCAATCTTAACGCAACTTTTGCCGATCGATAGAGAATGAACCAGGAATTCACATGGATCCTAAAAATATGCATTTTCAAAAATCATAGGCGGATACAGATCATTGAGATTGGGGGTGCACAAAAAGTATAGTAAATAAGGTTTTTGTTGGTACTGTTTCTAAAAAGGGTGGCAATGGTCTTGTTATGTTACAATTTTCTTATGAGAGAACGACTAAAATTGTATTGGTCATGCATAGGCGGTGTCAGGGCACCTATGTTGGGAGGTAAAAAATAACCCCCCTTTTTGGACGCCTGGATCCGCCTATTATAGCAAAAACGTGTCAAAAGAGGATGCACAAAAACTTTGTATATGTTATCACATGATACCTTTCATTCACTGTTCGTAAAACTGGTGCAGCATCGTGATCTTCGCCCAAATGACTCGCTTCACGAATAGAACCCCCCAATTCCCAGTGCTCTGGAGCCGCCCCTGGTAAAGTTATGAACTTGAAATTTTCAGGGAATGTGCCCAATTTAGTTTTAGGAAAAGTCAGAAAATTTCAGCATCGTAGCTTCAGCAGTTTCGGAGATATTCCCGAAAAACCTGAGGGGTGGATAAAAACAACCCCCCCTGCCACTAATAGGGTTAATGGGGAAACTTACTTTTGCCGAAGTGCCGAAAAAGCCGGAACAAAAAACACAGATGAAGAAACGGTAACATTTATTCACATCACATATTCATACACTTGTGGAAGGTGTCAGTGTACTGGTGTCGGGTGTATTGGTCAGGGAAAAAGTCCTAAATAACAAAAAACCTGACGCCTATTGCAAAGGGGAAAACCCCGCGTTGAAGCCAAAGAGCGCGGGGAAAAACCCCTACGTTTAATCTAATGTGTAGGAGGCAAAAGGGAAGGGATAATGACGGCCCCGTGCTGGGGAGGGGCGCCCGGCGACCACAGGCGTACTAACACCTTGGCCGCCAGTCGGCATTGGCTCTCAACGACTTCGCCTTAGCGGGTCGGAGAGCGCAATAGGGGGCCGCCAGTTGCACAATGCAAGAAACATCAATGGCTATAGCGTGAGCACACGATGCAATCATAAGGAAAATGTAAATAAACGACCGGGATTTAGGTTGCACAAGGAACTGGGCGCCGCGTTACTATCGTCCCCACGGCGCCCACTCATGTCCGTGCTCGGGTTCCTTTTGTCTCAGTGAGGTGGTTTTTATATGCTGTTAACCCTCGCCCGCACATGGGGGGGGGGGGGTGGTTGCCACCCCCCCAGGCAGTCTTTCTGCTCTGCACTCAACATTTTTAGAGCTAGAGGGCTGATTTTTCGTATAGCTGCTCGTCTATCCTTTCTTGATGTCCACTGAAAATTTCAAGTTTCTGTGATTTTTGGTTTCGGAGATATGACCTTGTTTTTCAGGTCATGTCATGACCCAAATGGCCAATTCTCAACATCTTGCGTTTGCCATGGGCCTTGTGAGCTTTTGACACCCTGATTTCGGCCTTTTTTGCCAGTCTTACCTCCCACCTATCATGGAACATGTTGTTCGACGATGTACAGAGGTCAAGGTCAGGGTCAAGGTCAACCTAGGTCATCTAAGATAATTGCGTTTTAGGCAAGCTGAATTTACTTTTTGTGAAGTTTTTTGACTGCATTGTTGGTAAAAGCTTCTCAGATCATGATTTCATGTGATATGCACCCAAAAACAATCGGTGCACACATCAGTATACACACAGACACACACAGACATACAAACACATATAATTGACCTTGACCTAACTTGACCTGAAATGACCTCAGCAGCAAAATTCTGGTCGGATAGTGTGACAAAGAGGTTCTAGCTGGCTTGGCACCAGAAAACAGCATCGTCATCGGTATTTGATAAGCAGCGCACTTGATATCCAACGGTGACCCAAAACAGCAACATTTTTTAGTTTGACCTGACCTGGAAGGTCAATGACTGACCTGAGAAGGTGAAACTGGATATCATTGGATTCGTCTCTTCCCAAAGAATCTTTTTGGTCTTTACTGCTAAGCTCTATCTCCAACAGGAACGAAATGGCGCGGGGGGGGTGGCAACCCCCCCCCCCCATGTGCGTTCTAGGATGGCAAAATGGCATGTGCGGGCGAGGGTTAATAAGACGTGCCTCCTGAAGAAAGATAAAAAGCAAATCATGAAACTCTGGATGATCGTCAATAAATTAATTTTGCTGCGCAAATACAACAAAGGCAGAAATCTGTCATAATTCGAGGACGCTACCGTCTCTGCGGGGGTTTATGTACAGCCCGTGATACTTTGAGGCACGTCGAACTAAGCGAGACAACACATCGTCTTAAAGTCGAGTAATTCCATTTCAGGTCCTCGATTACGAGCTGGTCAAAGTTTCTGTTCATAGACGCTATTCAATCTGGATCTCTTGGAATTCGTAAAATATCCTAACTACGGAAAAACCTACCTGATATGTACGGCGGGTAATACTCCTTTGGCCACTCCTCTAGGCTGACATGCCATTTAGAATTACCCCGGTAGGGTTTGGACGTTCGGAAGGCATTTCCACCCAGGTATCCCTTATCAGGGGTCTTCTCCAGCAAGTGCAGTACCTCGTACACATTGTAAGCTATGTCGTCATCCATCTTGATTATATGTCTGCAACAAAAGTGGATTGATCTGATCTGACCAACAAGTAAACCAAAATTGAACACATACATTTCTGAATAAATCCTGAAAATCGTTTTTGAAGCATCACCTCTACCAAATGGCCAACAGTCAGCTCTCGCTTATCAATGCATTGAGCAGTGAGACACCTCCCTTTAGTTTTGCGCCGGATTATCATTGGTAACCAACCATGTTATAAGATGAAGAAGACCTATAGACTAGGCCCCTTCGAGATGGCCATTTATCGTCTTATCCCTCTGACCGGGCTAAGTTCGGCGTTGCACCATTTGGTGGTCACTAACTAGAGCCCAGCGCCACTTAACCTACTCGAACTTTGGTCCATATCGTATCAAATCCTTATCCTTGTTCAATGCGGTTTCAGAGCGCACCAACCCATCCCCTCACCTGGCCTGGGGACAGAAGGTGGTGGCCCAGTCGAGGGCCATGATGTGCTTGTAGGTCAGGTTGTAGTAGGAGTCGTGGAAGTCTCCCTGCACTATGTCGTGATAGAGAGCATTCTCCGCCGCCACCGCAAACTGTGGTAAAAAATGCCAGTGAAAGGTAAAGCCTGAAACAGACTCTTTCTGCAGTCAGGAAATCGCGCTCGAGAGCCTATTCAAATACATGAAACACTCACGGCTCAATCACACGCACCTCACGCATGAGATTGATGCGGGTAGAATTATAATATATTTGAATATAAGCTCTCGCATGCGATTTACTGAATGCGGAAAGAGTCTGTTTCAGCCTTAATTAATTAACCCTCGCATGTGTAGGGGGGGGGGGGTCGGATGGACCCCCCCCATGGTTTTTCGCGAATAACTCGCGTAAAAAGCGGCTGATCGCGACGAAAGTTTCAGTACCCTCGCATTGATCAATTTTACACCTACCCTGAAAATTTCATGACCCTGACCCAAATGACCTTTGACCTGTGACCTCTTTTCCGAGACCATGTTTGGCCGGAATCGCGATTCGGCGTACGTCGGCTCGCATTAGCCGCGCGTTTGCAAGCTTTTCGTGATTTCAAACGTTCAAACATGTGATTTGATGTTGCTCCCATGCATTAGGGTGGGTGTCAAGGTCACCTGAAGGTCAGGTCAGGTCATTGACCTTTGGTGACCTCGGGTGACCTCGGTTCACTTTTTCGAGTTTTACATGTTTCTAGGCTAGTTTTTGGAGCTGAATTCGAATTTAGCAACCATTTGAACATTTACGAAGTAGTTTTGGTGCCTTCGTAACATGTTACGAAGCTGTCAGAGGCGGTTGACACGTACTACGAATACCCGTCACGACGCCTACTGATTGACCTGACCTGACCTGACCCGACCTGGTCTAAATGCTTAAAGACATCATCTGTGATCAAAACTAACACGATATTCGTGATCAGCACCCCGAAAAACCCCTTAGCAGCCACACTTTACGACTTTCTAATAGGTCCCGATTTTCCCGACTTTGGGTCATTGACCTGACCTGGAAGGTCAACCAATGACCTAGGACCTTAAAATTGGGTATCATCGGCTTCCTCTCGTCACGGGTAACACGCTCGTTTTTTCCGCGAAGCTCTAGCTCGATCAGGGGCCAAACGGCAAGGGGGGGGGGGTCCAACCGACCCCCCCCCCTACACATAAGCTGGAAAACGCCGCACACATGCGAGGGTTAAATCTGCCACATGAGCTGTCGAGCCAGGAAAAGAAGGTGATTTTTCAATGTCATGCTTTCTTTCATTTCGGTTTTCCTTTATGACCCATAACCCCTAATTTGATGACAATCTGCCCCAACGGTTCCTGGCCCTATGAAAAGCTGTGGGCAGAGACCCCACGGCCCCAGAGTTGTGAGAGCACGCTGCCCCCACTGCCCCTCCCCCTCCCCTGGTTTCCGCGCCTATGAACTGTAGCCAGTATATAATGGAACCTTTGTTCCTGGCTACCAAAATGTAGGTAAATACTTGACGCAGGTGAAAGGGAAAAGTTGTAACTTTAGAAAAGTACTTTCGTTTTTCTTATCAGGGAAAAAGAAAAAATGACTGGCCTAAAACCCGTGGGAGCACTAGACTTGGTGATTCCCTACGGGCTACGATGATCCATGTTATGAAACGATGCCAGGAAATATCAGGTGGGGACACCCGCTCCCATCCGTCAGAAAAATAGTTCCCGCGCCACTGCTCACTTGTAAGATAAGTCTTTGCAAGACCGCAAAAACGGCTCTCACTTGGGATATGGTGGTGTCGTCCTCCCGAAGCTTGGTGGACGCCTCTGCCAGCATAAAGGCGCGCCTCAGACCGAGCTGGGCCAGCTCGGCTGCCGGCAGCGAGTCCCTGATGGCCTGGCGCACCTCCGGGCGGCGCGGGTCCGAGTGGACCACGATCACGGCCCGCACCTCCTCCTCGCCACCACACACGGGACTGTTCAGCAGGTACTGGTACCGGCCGTACTGCGGCAGTACGGCGGCGCCCGGGCGCGGCTCCGGAACGGCTGGGGGCTCCATCCAAGGAGCCTGATGCACGACCTGCTGGGCCACCAGCAGCAGCACCAGCAGCGAGCAGCAGCAGGTCAGCAGCAGCCGCCGACGGAACGCGATAGGCGTCGGCATGGCGCCGCCAGAGAACGACCCTCTGGAATATGTTTTGGAGGGCTAAATGCGATAGTTGACACAGACTTATCAGTTTTTTTCATACATATGTCATCCATCCATCCATCCATCCATCCGTCCATCCATCCATCCATCCGGCATCCATCCATCCATCCATCCATCCGGCATCCATCCATCCATCCATCCATCCGGCATCCATGTCCATCCATCCATCCATCCGGCATCCATCCATCCATCCATCCATCCATCCATCCATCCGGCATCCATCCATCCATCCATCCATCCATCCATCCATCCATCCGGCATCCATCCGGCATCCATCCGGCATCCATCCGGCATCCATCCGGCATCCATCCGGCATCCATCCGGCATCCATCCGGCATCCATCCGGCATCCATCCGGCATCCATCCGGCATCCATCCGGCATCCATCCGGCATCCATCCGGCATCCATCCGGCATCCATCCGGCATCCATCCGGCATCCATCCGGCATCCATCCGGCATCCATCCGGCATCCATCCGGCATCCATCCGGCATCCATCCGGCATCCATCCGGCATCCATCCGGCATCCATCCGGCATCCATCCGGCATCCATCCATCCATCCATCCATCCATCCATCCATCCATCCATCCATCCATCCATCCATCCATCCATCCATCCATCCATCCATCCATCCATCCATCCATCCATCCATCCATCCATCCATCCATCCATCCATCCATCCATCCATCCATCCATCCATCCATCCATCCATCCATCCATCCATCCATCCATCCATCTATCATGCATACATACATGCATACATGCATATATAAATAGATACATGCATACATACATACATACATACATACATAAGTAGTCCAAATTTCACAATTTTAAACTTTTCAAATCTTTTTTTTCGGTACGTTTTTTACATCGTACAGTAATATAACTAGCATTATCATGTTCCTGAACTCAAACTGCAGCTAATAGCCAGACCGATACACGATATTAAATTCAATGACCAAAGATGACCTGGCCTTGACCTGACGAATTCGAAGTACAGGCTGGGTACCTTAACCCGCGCCGTGCTGGGGGGGGGCGTTTTTACGCCCCCCCCCCCTCAGGTTTTTCGCGAATATCTCAAAAACGGCGGCGCGCAGCGCCGCCGTTTTTGGTACACGTGTTCCTACATCATTTCCGCACATGTTGTGAAAATTTCAGACCTAGGCCATTCAAGGTCAGGTCACCAGGTCACGTCAAGTGACCTTACCTCAGAAAAAGTTCAAAGGCTCGCTATAGCTACACCGACTGAACGATCACTTTGAAACTTTCAGCGATTGATATGAGTAACAGTATGTATAAAATGTATATCTCGGATTTTTGATATCTGTGACCTAAGGTCAGGTCAATTTTGCGACCTCTCCATTATAAGTCAATGGGAGAAAATTGAAATGCGCCTCTTTTGGACGAATATCGTTCAAAACGCTCTCAAACATCGGTTCATAGGTAAACATGACACACTGAATAGGAAAAATGCACCTGTGACCCCTCTGTGTGCCCCTGAGGTCATCTCAGGTCATGAACGGTCGCCAGCAGTTTTTTGGCTATAACTTTTGATAGAGACGTGCTAGAGCGGTGAAAACACGTCAGATGTGTTCAGCTCGACGATACGGATCGACTGATATGCAACATGACCCTTTTCGGTCAGGTCATGACCTTGACCTGAGGTCAAATTTTCAAAATGACCTTTCAAGGTCAACGAATAGTTCATTCGACGCGTCTCGACGAGAGGAACACGATGCTGGCAAAAGTAATGTCATGGCGCTTATGAGTCAAAAGTTATTGACGAAAAAACGTTTTTCGTAAAAACGGTTATTTTTGGAGTTTTTGCCCTCTGGAGGCTAAACCGTTGACCTGAGGTCAAATCTGAGAACATTACTCAGAAAGGTCTGTAAAAGGGCTATCGAATGCGCTTTTCCGCGGCGCTGTAGCTCTATCGGTTCCCGAGATAGCCGTTGGCAGTTTACAAAATGTTGAAATAGTCAACATTTTACCTTTGGTGACCTCTGGTGACCTGACCTTTGACCTGACCCAAAAAATGACCGAAGTGTTTTCGTCCTTATTTTTGACGCTCTTTCGATTGCCGTTTACCGCGTGTCGCTACGTGGCCCAGGAGCCGAGTTAGACGGGGGGGCGTGAAAACCCCCCCCCCCCCAGCACTCGGCGGAAAGTTCAGGCCACCAGCACGGCGCGGGTTAACCCGGCAGTTGCTGGGGTATTTCGCCACCCACCGTTTGCTGGGGGGGGGGGGGGGGCGTTAAACGCCCCCAGCCGATAACTCGAGAACCAATAGGCGCAGCGAAACGCACGAGGCGGCAAACGAAAGAGCGCGACGAGACGCTTCAGATGAGTACTTTAAAGTTGAATTTTGAGGTCACAGGTTGGGTCAAGGTCAGGTCAAACACCTGAAATCGGGCTTTCAGTAGCATGGACCTCAGGAGTTTGCAATGGGCGCCTCTCGTCACAAACTCTGTCAAAACGGTGCACAATCCATCATATAAAGCCTACAAGAGTGTCAGATCCATTAAGGGGTCAGTCAAGCATAGGTCAGGGTCAAGGTCAGGTCAACCGGGTAGGCACATATCCCCAAAAATCAAAACTGATATCCGCAGCCTGTGACACATGTTTTATGGGTAATTTGGGGCGTAGAACACGATGGTAACATTCATTTTATCATATGTGTACGTGTTTGGCTCAAAAAGTTCAATTTAAGAAATGCATGTATCATGGTCGTGAAGCAATCACGTGAAATGTTCCAGATTTAGTTCAAGATTTTGGAAAATGCGGAACGATAATCAATAATCGAAGATAGCCATTTGATTGTTCATGGTATTGCCAGTCTAACGGCGTTTACGGCATGGCTGTATGTCTATTCTGTGATTTTATATGATTTTTTGAACATATGTCGTTTTTTGGTCGAAAACTCAGAAATCATGACGTCACTAAAACCTCGATATCTCAAAAATTTTCCAACCGATTTTTTTTCAAACTTTGTAACAATAAACTTCAATCAATTCCCTATAGGTACCAAAAATTTGGCGCGCATGCGGCGCGCCGTTTTTATGCTATGGCCCGGCGAAAAAAAGTGGGGGCGTTTAACGCCCCCCCCCAGCAACTCGCGGGTTAACCCTCGCCCTGGCAGGGGGGGGTCGATGCGACCCCCCCCCTAAGGTTTTTCGAAGATAGCGTAAAAACGGCGGCGCGCAGCGCCGCCAAATTTGGCACAGCCTATGGGGCAACCTTTTTACATATGACCTGAAAATTTCAGGTCCGGGTACCTTGGGTCAGGTCACCAGGTCAGAAAAACCGGTACAAGGTCATGGTCAAATTTCAATTTTCTTTTTGCACCTGTCCAGCTCACAGTTTTGGACTGATTTCCTTCAAACTTTCAGGGTGTGCTAAGTTCACCGAGTTGTATAACATATAGTTCGGGTTTTTTGAGGTCACTGACCTGAGGTCAGTTAGAGGTCATTACGTCGTAATGTTAAGCCTACGGGAAAATACTAAATTCGGAAAATACTGGAGATATCCGCTTCGTTCTATCACTTTTGTGCTTTGAAACCACAGTACTTAACAGCAGGTCACTTGGTGCTTCTTTGTTTGGTGTACTTATCCATGGGTCAGGTCAAATGAGGTCAACTGAGGTCAAATGACGTTTTGGCCAATAACTTGGCACATAATGACGCTAGAGCTTAAAAAAATGGTGTCATTGTGTTCCTGGTGATCAGCCGAATCGAATGATATGCGATATGATGCAATTTGGTTAACTTGAACTTAATTGATTAATTAAAGTTTACTTAAAAATTAACCCTCGCCCGTATTGGTGTTTTTCCAGCCGCGAACGTATAAGGGGGGGTCCGTTGGACACCCCCTTGCCGTTTCGCCCCTGATTGAGCTAGAGCTTCGCGGCAAAAACGAGCGTGTTGCCCGTGACGGGAGGAAGCCGATGATACCTAATTTTAAGGTCCTAGGTCATTGGTTGACCTTGCAGGTCAGGTCAATGACCCAAAAGTCGGGAAAATCGGAACCTGTTAGAACGTCGTAAAGTGTGGCTGCTATGGGGTTTTTCGGGGCGCTGATCACGAATATCATGTTAGTTTTGATTACAGATGATGTCTTTATGCATTTAGTCCAGGTCGGGTCAGGTCAGGTCAGGTCAACCAGTAGGGGTGCTGCCGGGTATTCCTAGTAGGTGTCAACCGCCTCTGACAGCTTCGTAACATGTTACGAAGGCACCAAAACTACTTTGTAAATGTTCATATGGTTGCTAAATTCGAATTCAGCTCCAAAAACTGGCCTAGAAACATGTAAAACTCGAAAAAGTGAACTGAGGTCACCAAAGGTCAATGACCTGACCTGACCTTCAGGTGACCTTGACACCCACCCTAATGCATGGGGGCAACATCATATCACATGTTTGAACGCTTGAAACCACGAAAAGACTGCAAACGCGCGGCTAATGCGAGCCGACATACGCCGAATCGCGATTTCGGCCAAACATGGTCTCAAAAAGTAGGTCACAGGTCAAAGGTCATTGGGGTCAGGGTCATGAAATTTTCAGGGTAGGTGTAAAATTGATTAACGCGAGGGTACTGAAAGTTTCGTCGCGATCGGCCGCTTTTTACGCGAGTTATTCGCGAAAAACCATGGGGGGGGGGGTCCGTTCGACCCCCCCCCCCCTATACGGGCGAGGGTTAAGAAAAACTTTAAGTACACTTAAGCAAGCTAAAAAGTATATCATTCGACGCGCCTTGACGTGCTGAGTTCACTGGTGCTTTTCGTTTTGCTCTATCTTAATTAGATCAAAAGTTATAAGCGAAAAGTTTTTGACCTGTTTTTAGCGAAATTTTTACATTTATACCCCCCAAAACCCCCCTAAATATTGACCTAGAGCAACCAAATTTGCACAGGGGCGAGAACTCCGGGGGGCCCACCTACCTACCAAATTTGGTGTTTCTGGGTGCCATAGGAGTCAATCGCGAGGGGGGGGGGGGGTCGCATCGACCCCCCCCCCCCTGCCAGGCCGTGTTATGAAAAATGCCCTGCCAGGGCGAGGGTTAAAGGGACCCTCCCACCTTAACCCTCGCATGTGTGCGGCGTTTGCCAGCTTCTAATGTGTAGGGGGGGGGGGGTCGGTTAGGCCCCCCTTGCCGTTTGGCCCCTGATCGAGCTAGAGCTTCGCGGAAAAAACGAGCGTGTTGCCCGTGACGAGAGGAAGCCGATGATACCCAATTTTAAGGTCCTAGGTCATTGGTTGACCTTCCAGGTCAGGTCAATGACCCAAAGTCGGGAAAATCGGGACCTATTAGGAAGTCTTAAAGTGCGGCTGCTAAGGGGGTTATCGGGGTGCTGATCACGAATATCGTGTTAGTTTTGATCACAGATAATGTCTTTAAGCATTTAGACCAGGTCGGGTCAGGTCAGGTCAGGTCAACCAGTAGGCGTCATGACGGGTATTCGTAGTACGTGTCAACCGCCTCTGACAGCTTCGTAACATGTTACGAAGGCACCAAAACTACTTCGTAAATGTTCAAATGGTTGCTAAATTCGAATTCAGCTCCAAAAACTAGCCTAGAAACATGTAAAACTCGAAAAAAATGAACCGAGGGCACCCGAGGTCACCAAAGGTCAATGACCTGACCTAACCTTCATGTGGCCTTGACACCCACCCTTATGCATGGGAGCAACATCAAATCACATGTTTGAACGTTTGAAACCACGAAAAGCTTGCAAACGCGCGGCTAATGCGAGCCAACATACGCGGAATCGCGATTCCGGCCAAACATGGTCTCGGAAAAGAGGTAACAGGTCAAAGGTCATTTGGGTCAGGGTCATGAAATTTTCAGGGTAGGTGTACAATTGATCAATGCGAGGGTACTGAAAGTTGCGTCGCGATCGGCCGCTTCTTACGCGAGTTATTTGCGAAAAACCATGGGAGGGGGATCCATCCGACCCCCCCTACACATGCGAGGGTTAACGTTAGATTTGAGTTGATATAGCCAAAATGGGGTCCCTGGCTCACAATTACCGGTTTCGGCACTCACAACATCGAGAAATGCCTTAAATCGGAAATATTGAATTTCAAAATTGCAGCATTTTGATTCAGAGGGGCTAATGCATACGAATACCCCTCTGAATGTGTGACGTCAGCGCAGATATCTAACGATTTTTAAATGTTTGAACTGTAATCGCCACGGCCCGTGTGGAATGTCCATGATGGTAATTAGAGATGTAAATCGGATACTAACTTTTTGGTATACCGATACCAAAGCGATACCAACTTGGTATTTGCTATTTCAATCATAATGTGTTTGGTATTTTGTTGGTATTATGAACCCTCACTAATGTGGTAAGAGGCTAAGAAATTGGTAAAAAGTTGGTATTTCCCTCATGTTCCCATGTTGGATCGGTTTCGGTATTTCCCCACGGTTTTGGTTGGTATTTGGTTTTGGTATCGGTACCTATTCCGATTTTCTGTAATTGACATCACTAATGGTAAAACATACATATTACATACACACACACACACATGATTTTACTTTGACCTTACCTGTTACGTCATCGGTAACCTCGAGTTCAATGAAACGATAGGCGTTATCACAAGTGTATTCGCGGCCATTGGAGCGACGGAAGAAAAGAAGAAAACAACTGGCCCCAAGAACTTTAAATTATGAAATAGCATGCACCTTTTCCTTGATATGTAGAGAATTTACCATTAATTGTTAGAGAAAATTGCATTTAAAATCTTCCATTTATGCTTTTTTCATCGTTTGCACAGTATGTTCTTTTACTAAGCTAGAAACACTAATTAGAAATTCCCGCATCATCAAGAACAATAGGGAAGGCTTGAAGTGAATACAATAATCTTAAACGGTTTTGTAATCCATGCGAAGACACTTCTAAAATTGCCTGTAGAAATATTAAAGGCAAAAGTTCAACTTTTCACAAGACGGATGGCTATAAACCTATTCAACGTGTGACAACTCAGCCGGTATATCGTCGCCTACAGCCCAGCTTTCCCTAGTGACCGATAGAGGCGCTGCTATCGATGTCCGCCCGTGCCGCCTAACGGTTAGGTTTTGGTCGACAGTTTGTCCAGGGCTATCAGACATCGTTAGAATTTTGACAATCAGTTTCGGAGATAGCAGGGGAGCCCCTGTAGAGCCACCGTCACCACCAGTCACCCGAATTATTGAAAATACCCCAGTCAGACGCGGGTTAAGACAGCTTTGACTACTGCCATAGGTATCATGAGCTACCATATTATCTAGTTGATGCTATCTCAGCTACTGCTAAAACATTCTTCGCAACATTTCCACTAGCCACCTACGCCTCAAGGTTTATATTCATCGTTCGTGGAGCTGATTATGTTTCAGAAATCGCCAATATAGGTACCTATGAATCAGTGGCGGATCCAGGATTTTCACTGGGGAGGGGCTGCAGGTCATAATTGGGCGCCACGCCCCGGATGGGCGCCATAGTCGCATCGTATTGGCGCTGAAATATTGGCGACCAGTGGCCCTGACAAGAGGCGCCCAGGATCAGTATGTACAGTGACACCACACGATTGGAAATATCGGTGCGGAGCGTACTGAAACGACGTTATTCGACTGATTTTTGCATCCTAGTCCTAGTATGCGGCACTCCGATGAGTTGCGAATTGAAAATTGGCGCCACTGCGCCTTCGGCGCAGTGGCGCCAGTTTTCCTTGGGTGGGGGCTGCCAGCCCCCGCAGCCCCCCCCCCTGGATCCGCCACTGCTATGAATGAAAGACAGACACATGTTATATGAGAGGTAAAAAAAGGTCTTACCGAGCCGAGCGAGTGGCCGACTGGCTGCAGGTCAGCAGTGCAGGACTTCCCTGCAGAGTGGGTCGGCCTGCCGGTTTCACGTCACATCATACACTGGTGCAGCCGCCATGTTGTCTCTGACGTCACTGATACCAGTTCTGGGACGCCACAAAGCCGTGATTGTTCAAGATTAGATTGGGGTCCTAGTCGCGTATTTGGAAATTCCAATAACAACGAGCCTCAGTGGTAGAAACCCATCACATTGGTAGTGCAAACTACTGCGGTATAGTTGAAATTTTGCTACCAGCTGTGTCACAAGGCAAGGGGATTTGTCTCACACGAAAGTCGCACGCCGTGATTACCTATTTGATGTCCAAAATTCTTATTGAGATATTTCTGCAATGGATGTACCTAATCAGGCGCGGATCCAGGGGGGGGGGGGCGACGGGGGCGGCCGCCCCCCCCCCCCCCGCCATCCGAAAAAGGCCCCCATATCCCGCGGCAGAGAGGGCGCCCCGAGCAGAAGAGCGGCGACACAGCAAAGGTTCAGCAGAAATAGGGCGCCTCCAGCAGAAGTTGGGCTCACCAAGCATGAGAGTGACGCCCAATTGCCAATTCCCAGCAGATGAGAGTCGCCCCAGCAGCAGATCGGCGCCCCCAGCAGAAGAGGGCGTCTCGTTACAAGAATATAAAATACCTTCTGTTCAAGAGGGGCGCCCCTGGCAGCGGAAGGGCACCCTTAGCAGGAGACGTGTCCCCCTGAAGAGGAGCGACGCCCCAGCAAAAGGAGAGAGGCGCCCCCATTCCGAGAAGAGGGGCGCCCTGACAGCTGCTGGGCGCCCCAGCAAAAAAGGAGCCCCTATAATAAGAAAATGGGTGCCACTGGCAGAACAGGGGCGCCCCAGCAGAGGAGAGGGGTCTCCAGCAGGAGACGGGCGCCCCAAGCAGAAAAGGGGCGCCCCAGCAGAAGAGAGGCGCCACAGCAAAAGTTAATCAGAAATAGGGAGCCTCCAGCAGAGGTTGGGCCCGCCAAACAGGATATGGGCGCCCCATTGACAATATCCGGCAGAAGACAGACGCCCCAGCAGCAGATGGGCGCCCCCGGTAGAAGAGGGGCGCCCCATTACAAAAAGAAAAGGAGTATATTCTACCAAGAGGGGCGCTACTGACGACAGCGGAAGGGCAGCCCCAGCAGAGGGGCGGTGCCCCAGTAAAAGGAGATGTGTGCCCCGTTCCGAGCAGCAGAGGGTCGCCTCGCCCCAGAAAAAAAAAACAGGAGCCCAATAAGAAGAAAAGGGGTGCCTCTGGCAGAAGAGAGACGTTCCCCGCAGTGGAAGGGCGCCCCCACACGAGTGGCGTCTCCAGCAAAAGAGAAGTGCCCTCTGCAAGAGAGGGGCACCCCACCAAAAGTTGGGCAGAAGTGGGGCGCCTCCAGCAGAATTTGGGGTCGCCCAACAGGAGAGGGCCGCCCTATTCACACAAAAACTCCTCAGCAGCAAAGGGGCGCCCTAACAGAAAAGGTGCACTCGTAGTAGAAGTGGGACGCATCAGGAAGAAGAGGGGCACTTCTAGCAGAAGATGGGCGTCCCAGATAAGTGGGCCGCCTACAGTAAATCGGTCGTTCTTAGAAGGAAGAAATGAGGCGACTTAAGCAAAGTGGGTCTCTCCATAATGGATTAGGCGATCCAAGCAGAGGTTGGGCGCCCCCGGGAAGTGAGGCATACCAGCATAAGTGAGACGCTTCCAGAAAAAGGAGGGGGCATCACCGGGAGAAGAAGGACTGCACCAGTAAATGGAGGCCACCTTTTTGCTAATATCTTTTGCTACGGTAGCGGTGCCCATCTACGACTTTTAACCCGGGTGCCGTGCTGGTGGTCTGGGTTTTCCGTGTCCTGCTGGGGAGGGGGGGGGGCACACTCCCTCGTCTAACTCGGCTCCTGGGCCGCGTAGTGACACGCGATAAGCGGCATTCGAAAGATCGTCAAAAAAACAGGACGAAAACAAAACGGTCATTTTTTAGGTCAGGTCGAATGTCAGGTCACCAGAGGTCATCAAAGGTAAAATGTTGCCTGTTTCAACATTTTTCCGTTTTCGAAGCAGCGGCACATAACTCGGAAACCAATAGAGCTATAGCGCCGCAGAAAAGCGCATTCGATAGCCCTTTTAAAGGTGTTTCGGCAAGCTGCGCCCAGATTTGACCTCAGGTCAACGGTTTAGCCTTCAGAGGGCAAAAGACTAAAAATAGCCTTTTTACGAACAATGTTTTCCTGCAATAACTTTTGACTCAAGAGAGTCTCGACATTACGTTTGCCAGCATTGCGTTTCTGTCGTCGAGACACGCCGAACTAACTAAAGGTTGACCTTAACCCTCAATTCAATTTAAAGCACTCAGTGGGGGAGGGTTCCCAACTGTTCCAAATGGAACTTATGAAACACCAGAGGAGACCAGGGAGGTCACAAAAAAGGTCATCCAAGAAAAACTGGGTGTCAAACTCAATGGACAAATTTCGGCATGCCACAGGCTGAGAAACAACAAGCGAGTGCTGGTCAAATTTCAGGACCTGGATGATCGGAGTGCTGTGTATGAGGCAAAATTCAATCAAACTGGCATGGGGCAGGCAGAAAAAATTACCATTCATGAAAACTTAACTGCAAAGAGAGCCAAACAAATTCAAGTGCTTGGGGACATGTGGGAAAAGAAAGAAATATCAAACTACTACACAAAGAACGGTGTGATCATGGCACGCATGACACGTGATCAGCGTTACGTGATGATCAGTCCTGACATGTCCAGAGAGGAGATAATGACAGCTACAGAGCAAGCAGTACCCAAAGTGAAAAAACAAACTGAAAACCAGAACCTCCTCAAATCCCAAACTCTTTCATCCATCCCACCTGGACGAGTGGCAGGTCAGAGAGCTGATCTAGAACAGCTGGAGTTAAAAGTGTCTACCCGAAGTGCAAGCAGGGGTAGAGGCAGCCAGGGTCGGGGCAGAGGCAACCAACAGTAATGACTACTTTGTCAATTTAAAGCACTTGGCAGATTTCATTGGTGTTCATAAACTGGCATTTTTCCCTCCTGAAGGCTTCACAAGTGTATTGATGGTACACTGCTGTCTGTGGAATGCCTGTGGTATGGATGATGCAACTTTTTCTGTCTTATGTGGATTTGTGGTCCCATTGCTAGATGACTTTGGAGTAAAGATGCATGTATTCATGCAATATAAAATACCTGTGGGCATTTTCCTGCTCACACTGCCATTGCGCTATTGGTGTGACGTAGGACTATGTGAGTACATGTGAGCGTGAATGAGAGTGTGAAGCTTGAATAAGCTTAGCCCCAGAAATGGAGCTTTTTAAACTTGTGACACCACAGGTATATTGATGTGCATTTCTCCAGTGCACCTTACCTAAATTCTGGAGAGGCCTGTCAAAAACTGCCAGCAAAGTGGCAATGAAAAAACTGACAGGAATTATATGGATAATACTTTATCCATATCATATGACTGCATTATTTCAGCAGTGCAAGCTGTTAGCTCAACAGACTTCAGCTGATACCTAGTAATGGAGAGTCGCCATCCACTTGGACATACTAATCCGAACCCAGACTTGAAGCTGACTGCAGCATTGATGTGCCTTAATATTATTTGTGGAACTTTGGGAATGCCATACATGTTACCACTGTTTGCTGCCATGAAGCTAGTGTTCTGATATCACTTTGATATGCAAATCAGGCAACTCTGCCTGTTTTTACCCATGCCTTGCAAGCTTGCGCCTTGCTAATGCCCATGCTTGCTGCTATTGGTCATGCACACTGACTAAACTCATATTGCCATATTACCCAACATGTTAAACATGTTGCCATGTTACCCTTTGTACTCAATATCACTTACTGTATCCATGTAACCCATGCACTGATCACCTATAGGCTATATTAACCTATTCCAGACATAACTAGTTAAATACCATATTTAACTTACCTACCATATAGGTATGCAAGCATACTATGCTTACTCTAGCTCTGTGCTGACATTGTTTCCGCTCCTACAATGTGTTTGGATTGTGTAAGCAAATAACTTAAAAACTAAGGAAGTACTTCATGAATGGTAATTGTGACTGTTTTGGCTCCTAAACTCAAGTGGATGTTACATGTAACATCAACATGGGAATGTTTTATTGCTTTCTCAAATAAGCATAATTGTTTGGTGATCCAATTAGCAGTAATTACAGCTCTCTTACTACTGAGGGTCAAGTTGAAATACCCTCAATCATAAATGATATAATATGATATAAATACTCACTTGAACCTGAGCACAACCTAACTATGCTTGCAGATCGATAGTAACAAAGCACCACTGTTTTCTTTTCCTTATCACAAAGGAATGAAAAATATAAGAAAACATAAAAATGTGAGAAATACGCAAGGCGTGCGTACACACCACGTGTTACGATACACGACTTTACGCATCCCATTCAAGGATCTCCCATTCACAAATTTTCCCTGAATTACACTTTTGCTATCAAATTTGATTTCTTTGATATCAAAAAAAAAAATAGGAAGAAATATTAGGAATGGAAAAGCTTTCATTTTTGCAATTCTTTTAAAGCTAGAATACCATCCATGCATTCAATTCTTTTTTTTGTGATTGGCATAGTGTGAGTCCATAATTGATTACTAGCAATCCCACTACTATTTTTACAAATGTTTTGTTTTTGAGTAAAGGCTTATTTGCATTTCAACCATTACATTTTTTTTCTCCCATTTATTCATTTATCCAGCACTTCTAAAAATACCAATTATCATGTTGACTGATATTGTTATTGCTTGCGCGTCGGTTTCGTAAATCGACACGCACTAAAATTCCTCTTTCTTTGTGGCACCTCCGGAAAGTGTCAAGTAGCGTTTGTTTATACTGTGTATGTGCAAGTGAGGTCACGCCTCGGTCCGACAGTGGGCTAGTGTCTAGGTTACCTTAGTAGCTACTAGCTAGAAATATCATTCAGTATTGCTACCCTCGGCAATAGCGCAAGGTACAAAGATGCATCTTTTGATCCATTTTCAGATATAATATCTGATGAACTTTCGCTTACACATGAACATTTTGAAAGACTTAGAAGCAAATGCACATTTTGGAAACC